TCATGATACCCCGGTTCTCTTCCATGGGGTCCACCATTGGGAGCTAGCTCAATTTGGGATACTCAAGCCCAAGAGCGGATCCCGACCCACAGTATAATGTTTCCCCTGTTCCATATCCACCAGATGACACCCAGTTAGTTGATGATGTACCGGCAGATCCTGACATTCGTCGAGATGGTAGGCCCCGTAGGACTAGACGGGCACCTGCATGTGGCACTGGTTCACATAGGCACTGACTTCATAGTGCCAATTTTATTTTCTTGTACTCATTTTGTCTTTTTTCTCATTTTGGACCTATTTATTTTGTATAACTCTTTTATTTGACCTATTTATTTTATATAACTCTTTTATTTTCTAGAACTCCTTTTGTTTTTGTCTACATATTTTATTGTGTTGATTAGATAAATATATGCACTGATTAATTTAACACTAATTGATAAAAATATAATAAATCTAATTGATAAAATGTAATAAATTTAATAAAATGTAGTAAGAATTGTTTTATTTGTAAAAAAAAATTTAAAATCAGAAAATATTAAAAAAAACAGAAAATATTAAAATATTAAAAAATATAAAAAAATAATAAAATATTAAATAATAAAATATTAAAAAATATTAAAATATTAAAATATTAAAAAATATTAAAATAATAATTTAAAAAGTTGAAGACGCCACCGGTGGCGGCGCCTCCAGCCGGTGCCGCCACTGGCGGTGGCGTCTCCGGCTGATGCCGCCATTCCCGGTGGCGTCCAACACCAAATTAATTACTCCTCCGAAAACAACCCCATTTTAAAAACTCCCCCCAAAAACAACCCCAAAAAAAAAATTGCCCCCGTGGTGTTCCATACCCACCCTACCCAGATCCCAACCAACAACCAACAACACCCAGCAACTGTTATAATTTATAAACAAAAGAAATTAGACAAACAATTAATTTTGGTCTCTTAGCAACAAACAAACTCCACAGGAAAATAAAAGAAAATAAAATATAGTAATATGTAAATAAAATTATTAATTCAAAACACACACACAGATACATACAAAGATAGTGTCTAGGTAAAAAGTAATTGTTCATCTAACCGTCAAAGCAATTACATATTTACAAAAATTACGCTCGTTGAAATTACAGGTGTAACGACAATCTCCGTTTCGGGCATGGAAATTGTAAGATTTTATGACAA